ATGCTGCATGCACTAGGTCCCCTGTGGGATTCCATAAGGATTTAAAGAATGCAGTGATACTTCTCCCTTAATGTTTAAAATGGGAATATAGTGTACAAACAGAACCGAGTTTTTTTTTTTTTAATCTTCATACTATGGTGCCACACACCATCTGAAATTTAACACTTGGCTTGCAGCTAGCAAAAATATTAAATGAAAGCCGTATTGTTTCTGTGGGATCAGTATACATATCCCTCCCAGTCATTTTCAACTAAATCCTAATGGGGTTATTTTCAGTATGCAAACATATTCATTACCAAGCTGCAGTGGGTGCATATAGAGCCTTTAGTGTTTCAGAAATCATTATATAACATCGCGGCTGCTTCTTCCTTCTATAGAAAATCAAAAATAACATGGCTTTCCGTTAATGTGACAATGGCCACACAGCTATAATTGATTTACTTATTTTAAGGGATCGAACAATGGGAGATTCAGGAATTCCTGTCATATGAATGGAATGTTTTTGTTTTCCTGTCCTATACATAAACTTCAATAGTATTGTGGGGTCTGGTAGGTCAGCTCATGTCATGGTAACGCCAAAGTATACATTCCCTGCTGACCAGAGCCCTGCAAGGAATCAACAGCTGAGAATGTATTTAAAGGTGAACTTCAGGCAAATATAAAGAAAACAACCTTTAGCTTCTTTAAGGCCCTTTTCACAATAATGCAGCTCATTAGTACACATGTGCAAACATGCGTTGTTTTAAAGTAGCCCATGCAAATGAAAAGGTGCATCGTCCATCAGCCAGGATCATTAGGTTATCATTCAGAATGAATGGCACCACATTACACAACGTGTTACTGCGTGCATTACCACAGCACGGTAGTTTGAATAGGCTCTTAATGTATTCTTTTGCACATTCTATTCTTTAATTTCATTGTATCTTCATACAGTGTTGCCACACAAATAGTTAAGACTAGGCTTGCAGTGGGAGTACTTGTTCTCCAGGGGAATGTACTTGTATAATAAGTGTGAGCCCACTTAAAGCTGAACTCCACTCAGATATAAAATACAGAAATGAAATAAATGATGTATTTATCAATTAGTAAATGTGTTTTTTAGATCCAGCTACTGTAAGTATCTACATTTTACTTGGTATTCTTTTGCAATCACTTGTAAAGCAGTGCTCAGATTAGGAGAGGAAGGGGCAGGACTTGAGGATGCAAGCAGGAGGCGAGTGAGCAAAAAATGGCCTAATCAGTCTGCTGCTACTTTTTCACTGTCCAGTCTTTGGGCCGAGGGTGGAAAGATAACGCTATTCCATAAAGAAGAACTCCAGGAAAATTAAAAATTAACCCCCTGCAGTGGGACTATCCCCACACTGCAAGCGTTAAGTGCTTGTTTTGGTGTAGGGTCTAAATTAAAAAAGGTGAAAAAGCTCCTGTATAGGATGTTCAGTGGTGTATTTAGATGGTTGCTTGGAGAGTTTAGCTTTACATGTACAGTAGCCCAGCGTTGATCAGTCAGTGATTATACTTTGCAGCTCGCCTGATTTTTGCCAGCAGCTAGACATGACCATGCAAATCTTGGTAGGGTTTGGGCAGATTGTGGGAGCGATTTCAAGTGTCCCAGGTTTACATGTTTAACATTGTGTGGCATACTCTGGCAGTCCTACCAAGACTGGTAGGCTGTGCAGTGCATCAAAGTCACCAGATATGTTTAGAACAAAGTGGCAAATGTGCCCATATGGGAAATTATAATTACACTGCTTATGTTGCTGCTGGGGAAAAGAGAACTTCAATATCATTGGTCTGTGCAAAAGCTTCCAATCCACTGGTTGGCTGCTGCTTCTCTACCCCCTCTCCCCTTAATAGTTAGCGGACTGGCTTGACCAAAAGCCCTCTTATGTTCCCTACTTAGCCTGCTGGCCATAGTTCAAAAGCCATGTAGTGCATTATAGTTTTAAAATATTTTCCCATGTAAATCTGCACTTAAATTAGTCGGGATGGCAAATCTGGAACACGCAGGATTCACTTGAACCCATGTTAGTGGCAAACCTGAACCAAACCTTAAGGCTGGGTTCACACCTGGGCGTACGGAATATGCGCGTTTGCACCGCGATTTGCGGTAAAAGAAAAACGCATGACAAACGCGCATTTCCGAGGGCTATCCGGCTGTATCCTAATGGATACACGCGGCAAATATGCCCCAAAGAAGCTCCTGTACTTCTTTGGGCATAGGGTGTTTAACAGTGAGTTCCTACGCGCTGTAAAACGCCCAGGTGGGAACCATGCCCATAGGCAATTATTGGTTTTCACATGTTGAGCGTTTTACAGCGCGTAGGAACGCACTGTAAAACGCCCAGGTGTGAACCAGGCCAAAGAGTCAATCTCTCCCTGTGGCTGTCATATGGCACTGCTCTCTGCATGCATCACCATCCAAGGGAAGTGGTTAGCATTGGAGATGAGACCTTAGTTGCTGACTTTATATGACAAGTCAAAATTTGCATCTCAAAAGCTGTGCTCTTTAGGCTTCAAATTTTGGATTTTGGGGAAGGAAATAGTGCATTTGAAACAGCTGATAGAATGGATTATGAAGGTAGCTCTACATTTTCATACTTAAAAAATGAAAAGGTTTTACCTTTTAAAGAAGAAAAGTAAATGCGCTATATAATTAACGTAACTTTCAGTATATACTGAATCATTTACAGTGAGCTTTATGTACCAGACTTCCCTTTAAATACATAAATGCCTTAATGCAACCTGTGCTGCTAAACTGGAATGGATATAATGTACCACATGCCAAATAGACATTTGATGGCTTACATTATGTATTTAACTAAGGTCTGCTTTTTCTATGATGTTCTTTTGGTGTTGGTTTCTATAGCACCCAAACGAACACCTAGCTTCTCTAATAATAGATCAGTTGATTCAGTACATACATCCACATCATTCCTGTGCAATTACATGACCTGAATGCGGGCAATGTTCACTTGTTTCACTCGTCGATAAATTCCTGATCATCAGCATTGCCATGCATGTGGAAGGCTGAATTTGTTCAATGCAAAAATCATGCATATTGTGTACTCAGTAACAATAGCATGTAATGATGTGGATTACATGAGTATTGTGTACTCAGTAACAAAAGCATATGATGAGGTGGATTGTTGGAAGAGTAAATGGACATCTCTTGTATTGCAAGTGCAACATTTTTCACTACTATTGCTATAAAGCAAAGCTGATTAAACTGTACAGTAATATAGTTCAGAAAAGAAAGTCTTAATTGCATTGTTTTTCATCATTCCTGCCTTTTTTTTAATATAAAGATTGGTTTTGAAAATCTTCTCCCCACCCTAAGCTGCATATGGACATTTAGAGCCAGTCAGGGGACAGAATTGCATGTTGGGGTTGGGTGAGGGCAAAAACAGCTTTAAAGAATACGTTCACCTTTTCACAAAAAATGAAAGGATGAACTGGCCCTGACACCCTCTGCCCAATCTCTACTGTGATTAGCTGCTGTAATCACAATTTCCCGCCACCAACAGCAGTCAATATCAGTCCAGGCACTTTAAAACGTCACTGCACAGCCCCTAAGGATGTGTAGAGACGTAATGCTGGCGATGCCTAGAGGTAATTGGCCAGCTTGGCTATGGTGTCCTGAAAGAAGAAGGTATTCTCATTGGTCTTAATGACCACTGGCCATTGCAAGCATTATCTTGCTCTACAGTCATGGCCGTTAGGAGATGTGATTTTGGTAGCTAAGCATGACGGGCACCAGGGGAGTGGGAAGGGTGTACTTATCCTTTAATGGCGACCTTTATAGATGCATATACTTATCTTGCCTTCTCTGCCTGGCCTCACCATTCTGCCTGGAGGAAAGCCCTGTGATAAGGTACGAGTTGCCGAAGTTGTAGCTTACACAGAACCATGGAGCTCATGTGTGGAAGCGTGGCTTGTTCCAGCTTTGTCACATGGAGTCACATGCTCCTCAATACTCAGAAATATTAAGTTGTTGTTGGGGATGTGGAATTAGCAAATCTGGTTCTTTTCCCCGATTACGTTAAGGTTTATGTGTACATTGTGTATGCTCTGTGCTATAAAAAAAAATAATTGGTTGCCAGTACTCCTGAATATTGTTGCTTATGAAGGAACTTTACCCATATCTTCAAAATAACAGCAAAGCACCTTTTAGAAATGTTTAGTAATGGCAATCTATAAACACATACTTATAGATAATTGCAGCCTTTTTCTTCTTCCCTTGCTTTTCTTCTCCATTCTTTTCACGGTGACCATTTTTACTAAGGGCAGATTAATCTATCTCCCTTTACTTCCTGGTACTCTGGCACATGTGACAAGGACATGTGATCATGCACATCATCTCACGGGAGGGAAATGCCTTTCCCTGAGACCTTGTGAGAATACAGATGGGATTTCCCAGCAATTCTCTGCTGATGTAATCGTGCCCAAGCATTGCATCCTGGGAAGGTTACATCACTTTTGCCAAAGAAAACCAGGAAGTTGAAACAAGAAATTTTAAGTAAAATGAAAATATGTTCAACTAATGAATATCAGAGGATTTCATATCGGCATGCAGGACTGCAAGCTCATGTGATTTTTAGCCAAAGGGGACAAAGGTCCACTTTAAGTAGGTGATTTCAAGTTTATTATACAGTAAGTCTGTAGAAAGAGATGGAAAGCTGACTATAAATGAAACTATAGGGTTGATGTATGAAAAGTGTGCTAGCAGGAACATTTCGTATTGTCCATACCAAAAAATCCTTGTGTTTTCCTACCTGGACTGCAGGAATTACAGATGAAAGCTGATTGGCTGCTATGAGCATCTTCTAGCACAGTTTTCATCTACTGGCCCCTGAATATATACAGTTCTCAGTAAACCTAACGTCTTCTCTTATCCAGCTACAGCTAACAAATCTGCAAATCTGTACATTGCCTTATTGAATAAGCTAGTAAATCCTTGTTGATGCATCCAATGCATTCATTCTGTTTCATCTTTTCTGTAGTTACCTCATCGCCGAGTGACGTTCTCTACATCCAACCAGGCACCAGACATCCAGGACCCTTCTCAGCAAAGCTACTACGACAGCGGCCTAGAGGAATCGGAGACCCCAAGCAGCAAGTCATCCTCTGGGCCAAGAATAGGGCCTTTGGCTCTCCCAGAAGATCACTATGAGAGAACTACCCCTGATGGCAGCATCGGTGAGATGGAACATCCTGAAACTGGTAAGAACAGGAGGAGAACAGGGCTTTCTAAATCAGGCTGTCCAGTGTTGCACCATCACCAGGCCACCTGCTTTGCAGCTATGTCTGTAGCATTTCACTTTAAGTGTATGCATTTTCAAATACATATAGCACTTAAGCATTTCTTATTTCAGCACATCAGATTCTGCAGCAGTGGTGAATGGATGTAGCACAACCACTCGAGATAAAAGTAGAGGATAAGAGGCTGCCTCACACATGGATTCCTTAGGTCATGGAGTTGGTTATCATAGTAGCCATACTGTGGTATAAAGTCACACCAATAATGTAGCTTGGCCTCATTCACTGTGGCCTTGACAAGCCTGCATTTATAGGACCTTAATGCATATACATGCATACAATGATTTTTAATGGTATAATTCCCAAACTGTGTTCAGGTGCCGTCAGTTCAGCTGTGCTTAAAGAATATAGAATTCTTGGATTCTAGAGGCATTACATAGTCTGAATGTGCCCAAACACATGTAAATGCAAGTAAACATGTGTAAATACTTCCCATGATTCCACACAGGAGGCTAGTGTGAATGTAGCCGAACAGTTGCGACTTTATTGCAACTTTATGGCCTTTTATTAATCTAAGCCCATTCCAAGCTTAAGGCGCAAAACATTGCAAAAAGAAAAATAATTGCCTGATGACTTGAGCGGTCCAGATTTAGCAAATTTGAAGCATTGTAGACCGAGACCAAAACAATGTGTGTTGGGACCGGATAGCAAAACCATTATAGGACCACCTGTCTCTCTAATATCCATCTCAAACACAACTCCTCTTCTAGTGATGCAGGATACAGTTTGATTTCATAGCTTGTATATAGGTTTACACACACACACACACACACGCTCTCTGTAGCGAGATAGAGAGGGATAGATTAGTGTTATATAAATGCATTTGCTACATTCTATTGCCACCTGCATAATTCCCTGTATAGACAGACATGTTTTGGGTCTCTTGTGCTTCTTGGGCCCCATGGCAGTTTTATTGCCTATAGTTACCACCTTGCATTAAACCTTTCATTAATTCATTAGTGATTAGATAAGAAGTTAGTGAGACAAGAGTGAATCAGTATGCTTTGGTGCCTTGGATTTTATTTCAGGTTTCCAAATGGCTTCCTTCACCCCTCATACAGTGACCACGTTTACATATTACCATACTGTTAGCAGTACAGTAAAGAATACAAGTTTATGAAAAGGATATAGCTCCTAATATGTTTGGAGTCTTTCAGTCACAAAGGCCCTCAATCTCAAAGGCTTTGGCCTAGTCCCAAAACAGCATATGCAGTCATGCAATACATCTGAGGGAATGGGACTAAATTCACTTTACCTTCTCAGGGTTTTCCTTGAAGAAGCCATTGAAGCATCCAGTGTTCTTTTCTAAGTGAGACTCTACTGTATTTTTAGGGATTACACTCCAAGTACTAATTGTGACACATTTCTTATGTCCCCTCCACACTTTTGCCTGCTTGTTGCATTATCATAGGCATCAACACATAGTACAATATGCTGTGTAGTCATGTTGCCAATTTTTGTAAGTGCTACCCCGCCACGCATTCACAGCCAGAACGAAAGCACCCACCCAGCATACCGCAAGGCATGTATTAAAGAACACACGTCCTGGCCCATCAACACCCTCTAAGTGAAAATTAATAAGCAATGCAACACACACCTGTGCATTAAAAGCATAAGTGTGAAGGAGTCGCACATTAATATGCTTGATATCCAATGCATTTCATATACAGATCTTTAGATTCTTCCTTACCTGCCTACGTTTTTGGGAACATGTTCAGGATGTCAGAAAAATAACTGATGAAAGGATAATTCATATCAGAGATCTAATATGATGCATTGAGAAAGGAAGACAGTGAAGCACGATAATTCTGCAGCACTATTAAGCAGGAAGCCAGGCATGCATATGTAACAGGCAGAGCTGTCTGCCCTATATACATATATTTTCCCAAACCATGCATAGAGACAGAGTTTAAAGCACACATTGATTAGTTTTTGTTAATTGACAAACTCCAGCCAAAACTTTTAGTGTGAAATGTTAGAAGTTCTGCCAAGTTTTTTTTTTTGGTGTGTGGGGGGGGGGTTCTATCCTGATCCCTCTCTGGTAGCTTTCACTTAATTTCTCACCTATTCAGTTCCAATATAATGCAGCAAGTTTGAGAAGGTATTACCATATATCTCACTTTACGTTAACATTTTTATTGCCATCTCTGTCTTACATTGAAGAGATTTGCTCTTACTTCCTCTCAGTGTCTTCTGAAAAATCTTCCCATTAAGAATAATAATAAAAAGAGTTTTATTTCATGCTGATCAAATTAATAACTGTAAACACAAAAAAAAACTGAAGTGTGCTAACATAAGGACCACTGAACTCATAATCATCTTCTGTGATTTTGAGACTAAAACCGACTGTGAAAAGAAATGCATCATGAAAACCAAAGTCATACCCGCCTGTAGTTTCATTGTAGCCATTACAAGGGGGTCTTGTTGTCCCTGCTGAATTTTTCCTTTTTTTGTGTTGCAGTGAATTTAGCAGGAGGAGTGCAGCTCCGTAGGCGATGAGGGGCTAAGGGAGATGAGCTTGCTCCGGTGATGGACTACAATCGCTTAATTTACCAATTTGTATTGAGATTGTTGTCCCATCAGAGGAGCTATTGTGGCGGTGGCTATTTTACTCTGGTTCCCCATGGTCCCTGTGTGTGTTGAAGCACAGTGTCAGCACCAATTCTGAGATGATTTGAGGATCTACAGCTGAGTGATAAAATAAGTACAGTTCAAATTTAAACCTGCTTTCAAGATTTAACTCCTTGGTTTAGTGTTCCGTTAAGGGTGGCATCTCTTACTAGTGTTCACTGTGCCTGGCTATCGCAGTGATCACATGACTGAGACGTGGTCCTGTCAGGGGCGTCCCGAGGCCGGGTGTCACCCGGCCGTGTCATCATTGCACGTGCACATGACGTCACATTGCGCGTGCGCGCACATCTGATTGACGCCTGCCGGTGGCCATCTTGGTGATGGACACCGGCAGAGAGAGGAGGGGACGTTCACCCAGCGGGATAAGGTGCCGCCGGGTCCCCTCCTCTCTCCTGACACTGTCTGGCTCTTGGTCCATGACCGAGTGCCCGACTTTTTAGAGGGGGTGACACCAAAATGACTCATTTTGGTGACACCCGGGTGCGGGCTGCACCCCCCTTGTGACGCCACTGGGTCCTATTATCAATCTATCGGTGACCGCTTGAGCTTATGCTGTGTGCACATGATGGAGCACAGGTCCAGCATAAAACATGTTGCATATATGCGCTCTCTGAGTGGGTACATAGAAAACCTGCATACACAGAACCCTGTACCCAGGGTTCATCCCAACGAAGGCGAAAAAACTTTAAAAAGCATAGTTCAATTTGTTCCATCAAGAAATAAATATTCCTTCCTGATTCCCTAAGGAAATCGGATATTCTCCAGATCAACAATGTTTGGTGTTATTACTTATAAATAATAATATCCAGTTATATTCTGTAAATTTAGGAATACATCCAGCTTTTTTTTTTTACAATCAACTGAGCTGGCTAGAACTAGTTCCCAAGAGTTTGTTTGAATCCTTTCAGAAGTGTTAAAGAACAATTGCATTTTTGGGCAATTGAGCAGGCACAGAAGGCTAAATATTAGAAAGAAAGCCATTTCCTGGCCTACAGGGTTCTCAGCCACAGCAACCAAGAAGCAGTTCAGATGGAATTGGGATACAGGGTCTTTAACATGGTGGCCCACAGAGGAGAATGCATAATATCACCAGAGCCATCTCTACATATATCCTAGGTGAGGAAAGTTGGGGGAAAACCAGCTGCTTACTAGTAGCCATGGTCTGCTAAAGGTGTGATTTCAACATCTGCAGTGTTTCCTTTTCTATTAAAAAAAAAACAAAAACATACATTATTTTTAGTCCAATGATATTTGGAAATTACAGTTACATGGCTAAACTAAAGATCCTTATCTTTGAGTCAAAAGTGGACCTTGCCAAACAGAAGTCCCCTGCTCTCCCAACACAAACGGCTTTAAAAAAAGCCATTTGTAAAGCGATTACTCCCCCCCGCTCCCCCCATTCAAAAAATAAAAATATTTACCTTGGCCCGGCCTGTAATGCTTCTGTAAAGCTCGAAATCCTGTGAGAATGCACTTCAGGTTATTGCAAGAGTGCATTCTTGCAGTATTGCGTGCACCCAGCTTTCCCAGGAGGCAGTGGTGAGGCATGGTGACCTGTACCTCTTGTAATTGTCATCAGCCAGGGCCAAGGTAAGTACATTTTTGGTTTTTAAGTGATCTGTTTGTTTACGAATGGCTTTTTAAAGCCATTTATGCTGGAGGAATGGGGGGCTCACAAGAAAGTGAACCTTCTGTTTAGCCTGGAAGGTCCGCTTTAAAGCTTTTTGAATTGAGCCTATAGTGTCTCAAGAGGTCCAAGGACAGGCATTTGTCTCTTTTCCTATATACCTGTCTGTAGCTAGCTTTAATCTATTTAAATTATTTTTCCATGTAGTTTTTGTGCTTTCCAACTTCCTTCCTCCATCTCTCCACTCACTGCCGAATGCAGCGCTTTGAATTGAGTTAAGGCCCAGCTTTTAACCATGTTAATCAATGTAACTGATGTTAACAAGCCTCATTTGATGGCTTCTGAAATGGAACGTTCGGTCTCTTTATTGTGAAGAGCTGTATAGCCGTAACTAGTGGTTTCAGAAAGATAAGATGCAAGGAAGTCACAACGGACAATTTGGAGACGGTGAATTTTCAGTTTGATATATGGCAGGCTATAGGTTGACCTGACCTTTGCAGTATTGCTGTATCTTCATGAAAAATGTATTCCGAGGAGTTCGCTGGCTTCTTTTCAGAGCTACAGAATGACTTTTTCATAAGCTCATGCTCCAGCTGGCCTTGTAGTGTAGTGAATGTTGTGTACTGCAGACAGTAGCTCTCCTTTG